CAGAATCAACAAAAAATTAGCAGTACTTCCTTCAGATAGTAAAGGACTTTTCTGCAAAAAAACTGGGTGGGGGGAATAGAATTGTACTTTGATAAGAATGAAGGCAATAAATACTCAATGCAGATGAAGGCAAGGAATACCTGATGCAGATAAAGAAAATGGTACTTTTGTGATATGCAAAACCAGCATGTTTAAAGGTTTAGGAAGTTATTTATGCAAGTTAGTTTTCTGCAATACATTCAAAGTAACAATAGCACTGAAAAAAGTGATGTATGACCATTTTTCCCACAACCATTGCAGCATCCCCAGGGTCATGTGATCAAAATTCAGACACTTGGCAACTGATTCATATTTATGACGGTTGCAATGTCCCAGATCATGCGATCACCTTTTGCAACTTCCTGACAAGCAAAGACAATGGGGAAGCCAGGTTCACTTAACAACAGTGTTACTAACTAAAAACAACTGCAGTGATTGACTTAACAACCGTGGCAAAAAAAAAAAAAGTTGTAAAATGGAGCAAAATTCAACAAATGTCTCACTTAGCAACACAAATTTGGGGCTCAGTTGTGGTCATAAGTTGAGGACTACCTGTAAAAATTATAGTCTCATGGCATCTTAAAATCTACTGTGATAAAGTTAGTCCATAAATTTTCACCTACTATTTACCTGATGGAATGGATTCTCTTCCACAAAAGAACAACTGCAAAATGGAGGCTGTGGGAATCTCCCCACTCCCTCAACTGGGATGGGTCTAAAGACAATAAAAGGACCCCACTGGTAAATTTCAAAACTCCATCTTGTTAACAGTTGCACTAAAAACTTTTTTGGAATGTCAGAAGGAAGGAAACAAAATCAGCCTAAAGAATCAGATGAGAGTCTCCTGAAACACAGGATTTGATCTTGATTCCACACCACACATAGCCCAACATTATGGTATAACAGGGGTGTCAAACTTGCGGCCCCGCAGGCAGGATGTGTCCACGTGCTGCCCCCCCCTTTAGCAAAGGGGGGAAAAGTCCTGATACATCACGTGACGTTGCAAGTTTGACACCCTTGGTATAAAAACAATAGGAGTTTCCCATTACCACCACCCTCTTCTTTCCTTTCAGAGTAAGGAGGAAGTGAAGTGAATCAGGTTAGAGACACACAGCAACATCTGGATCAGGGGTCTCCTTGTGGCAAGTGTTTGTGCAACTTCAGGGGAGCTCAAGCAAATGAAATACTTCTTGCACTGAGAGAATGGGCGTGCATAAGCGCACCAACGTGCCTACCGTCCCTGTCCTATTGTTTCTCTTATTCTTTTATTTTTCTTATATGTAACCATTTCATGTATTCACAACTATGTATACATTTATACTTATTATCTTGTAAACAATTGGCAAATCAAATAAATAAATAAATAAATAAATAAAATAGATGGGGAAAAGAACTGTTTAAGTGCGTTAGAGACAGAGGTTATACATAAAACAAAACCTTTCTGAAATGTGCCAACTAAGGATCACTTCTTTATATACACAAACTTGGCAGTTTAATCTGTTTTAGAAGTCAATTACGTTTGCTGGGTCACATCTCTGCTTGTACTATCATTTAAATTTTAATTTGCACAATACACCCATGGTTGAGTGTACCATGGTTGCCCAATAATGTCCATAGCAAAAACTGTGTCAGAAGAGGAAACAGATTTCTTTAAAACTGGAACTAAGGATGTCTATGGAGACTCTCAGTCATCCAGGTTAGGATTGTCCCAAAGATGCTTTTTCAAGAGGCAACTAGACTTTCTGATTTTTCTTTGAAGACAAGGTGAGGCAGCTTCTTGGATGAGAAGCGAAACATCTTCAAAGAAAAAACAGAAAGTCCCGTTGCCTCTTGAAAAAGCACCTTTAGAATTAAGGATGATTTTAGATTACTCCCGTTGGGGCTGGGATTGAAATGAAGACAATTGCCATGAGGATTAAAGCAAGACATGGTTCCCAGAGACTCTTCATGCCATAGTAAAGGCATCTACAGGAGGATCAAAACTACCAAAGTAGCAGAGCAGTATCATGGTGCAAACAACGTGTCTTTGTATGTGTATGCACATGTATAAAAGAAGTTGGGCTTGCAGTGTAACAGAGGTCCATCATCTTGCTGATTTTGACACCCAGCTCTGGTGGATGTCTCTGTGCTGTGGTTAGGGGCAAGTGTGGAAGAGCCTATAATGGCTGACTAGCTGCATTTGAGAACATCAATTGAAACTGGTGCCTTTTCAGAAAGCATCCAGCTGTTAAAACTAGTGGCTGCTACTGCAAGATCCTTGATGATTTTATTTAATCTTTGGTTTAAAATTATCCAAGCAATCCTGCATCTGCTGTTAACAAATTAAATGATTTAATTCCATCTTCAGTAACAAATATGGTATCACTATAGACCAGAAGTCTCCAAACTTGGCAACTTTAAGACTTGTGGACTTAAACTTTTCAGAAGTTTGGGGACCCCTGCTATAGACATTCCATGAATGTCTCTGTTCTTCATCCTCAACTGTATTCATATAATCAAATACCCTTGTTTAAAACGATGTATATTGTAATAGCACAATTGGTATAATTGTCTTGCAAATAGAAGGTTGCCAATTCAAGGTGTGGCAAAAAATATTCTCTCTGTGTGTTTAGTTTTCCCAGTCACCTGATTTTACAATAAAATGGCTCACTGCACAAGCACAAAGAAAAGTAGGGACTTAAGAAAAAATAGCAATTAAGAAGTCCTTCTGCTGGCTTTCAAACCAGCAAGCTTTTATTTATTTGGCAAAAGTTGCAGCAATGGTGCTGTTAGAGACCTATAACAAAACATAGGCTTAAAAGATATTGGAAAGAAACACATTAAGAAATACATTAATAAATCATTAGGAAATAATTTAAAGCTGGCTATTTTGCCACCATGTATGTGCATTTGATATTAATTCCACATAACTTTATATGTTTTTGTATATTTTAGAAGTATGTATGCAATGCACACCTGAACATGCACACATCTACATATACAAAGGTATATATTTAAATATATACTGAATCCCTTGTAAGTTGTTGCTGAACTGTCTTGACAGAATTTTCTTAACCCAGTTTAGAGTTACATCAGCATGAGCAAAGAACAGGAGCATTTAAAATAAGAAGTGCTGAATTCAAAAAAATCAAAATGGAGGTTTCAACCATGCAATCAAAGCTTCATACCTTTATACATGTATATGATATTAACACAAGTGGGATGAGGATTTGATTGCATGGTCTCAATTGCCCTCTTGAAGCTTTTTTTTGTAATGCCCCCCCCCTCCCCCTCTAGGCCATTGTTCTGCAGGGAAGCCTTCATCTGATTACAGAAAGCTAGCATGATGGAGTAAATTATCCTAAAGAAGAAATGCATGCTGAAATGGATTTGATTCGTTTTATTTGATTCGTTTTTATTTGATTCGTTTTACATTTGAAAAATGTATATTTTTCAAATGAACAAATCTCTAACATGTCAAACCTTGCCCTATTCAGTAATGAACTCGACTAAATTTGAAGTCCTTCCCGCATTAAATTCGTGTGCATTGCAGTTTTCTACAGATCTTGATTGCCCCGACGTGGTTCGTATCACTCTCTGGACCTCTTGGCTCAATACGATAGAAGTTGTACTGTCCACTTATGACAACTGAGCTCAAAATTTCTGTTGTTAAGCAAGACATTGGTTAATTTCTTTATTTCTTTATTTATTTTTGTCAATTGCTTACAAGATAATAGGTATAAGTAAAAACGTAGTTATAAATACATGGATACATATAAGAAAAATAAAAAATATATATAAAAGAAACAATAGGACAGGGATGGTAGGCACATTGGTTAAGTGAGCTTTGCCCCATTTTACAGCCTTTCTTACCATGACTGATAGGTGAATCACTGCAGTTGTTAGGAACAAGGTTAAGTGAATCAAGCTTCCCCATTGGCTTTGCTTGTCAGTCTCAAAAAGGGAATCATGTGATCCCAAGATACTGCAACCATCCTAAAGATGAACCAGTTGTCAAGCATCTGAATTTTGATCATGTGCTCATGAGGATGCTATATGGCAGGGGTCTCCAACCTTGGCAACTTTTAAGACTTGTGGACTTCAATTCCCAGAATTCCTCAGCCAGCTGGGTGAGGAATTCTGGGAGTTGAAGTCCACAAGTCTTAAAGTTGCCAAGGTTGGAGACCCCTGCTGTATGGGATATAATTGTGAAAAACGGCCGTAAGTCACTTTTTTAGTGTCCTCACTTTGAACGGTCACTAAACGGAACTGTTGTAGGTGGAAAGACTATCTGTTATCTAACACGGTTGCAGGGCACTCGTTTGGGGAAGGTCGAACGAACACCTGGAAAGCCTCCAACTTTCTCTTCTTATGCACCCTTGTTTAAAAAAAGCAATTCTAAGTGCAGTTTCGCTTCCTTGTATATACTTCTTTTCCAGAGGAAACCCAGCTGGCGAATGAAAGCTTAGCTTCTTGGAAAGCCGGGCCATTTTAGCGTGATCGCCCTGGAGTGGGCGAGAGCGCGCAGATGGGAAAGGAAACTTAGAACTTTCACGAAAGTCACGTGGTTTAGAGGAACGGCAGGGACCAGAGCCAAAAGCAGCCCGGCCTCTAGGCAGCCCTGGAGAGGAGCGAAAGGAATGCTCCCCCGCCCGCTCGCCAGGAGAGTGCCCGTTCGAAAGGTGGTTCTCGCTGATTGGCTGTCATCGGCCAATGAAATTGCCCTCCGATTTGGAATATAAGCATTGTGCCGAGGGCAAGAGATTGTGGTGGTTTTCGCATTCTTCTCTTTGGCGCCGTCGGAGCTCTTCGCTGGTGAAAAAAAGGTAATGGATTTGTCCTTTTTCATTGCGGTGGCTTTAACTCGTAGAAGGGAGTGTCTGGTTGTTTGTAACCTTCAACTGGTTGTTTCAGTCGTTGTCATATGATGCACTGAAAGGGTGCATCATATGGCAACAGTTTTTGAATGGACAAATTTCAGGTGGCTAACTTACAGAATGCATCCAAAATCCAGGATCTATGACTACTGTGCGGTTAAAATTTGGCAGTTGTGTGGCCACTTCATGGCTTGTCAGCTGTGATGTGATTTGTCATTTCCAATACTCTCTGCCAGTTTCTTTACAAGGAAAATCAGTGAGGAAGTTACTCCTGCTCTCACTGTTCTTTTGCCTGCCAGTAATCATTCTGTTTCTCTATTTAGGTAAGGAAATACCTTTGAAACTGTAATCCAACAGGGCACAAGGTGGTCTAGGTAGGAGAGCACAAGGTAAAATTTCCTGCTTTCATTGTCAGCCTTTGATCCCTTTCTGTAGTTTTGGATGTTGGGAAGAGGGAGATGATGAAATATGATTACATCATGCAAAAGATGTTATGAATTATAGCTATTTTCCCTATAACAATGACTCTGTATAGTGAGTTGGGCTGAGGGAGGATGTGACTGGCCCACAGTCACCCAGCCAGTTTTGTATGTCCAGGGCTGGACTAGGACTCACAGTCTCCTGGCTTTGGCACCATTATATGTTGGAGATGATGTCTGCATTCACTGTTTGAACAAGTGTAGCACAGATTAACAAAAAAAAAGATTGGTGGATTCCTAGTTTTATTTTTCTCCCCTTCCCCTAAATATCACCAGGTCTAGGGTAATCCACATCTTAGCAGAGAATAGCATAGGAAGGGAGAGAGGAATAAGCAAATTGTGACAGATTGGTAGACCAGTAGCTGCAAAACCTGTTCCCAACCTTACACAAGTATTTTGTATGGCTAAATTCAAAGGAGCCCAACTAGCTGCTGACCAACTCTGTGTGGGGTACACAGCACAAACCTCTGCCTACCTCCTGGTCAGCTTAGCTTTTTGATCCCCACCAAGTCACAGGTGACTGATACTAACAACAGCTCTGATCTGGGGTAGAAGGGGTGGCAGGTGAAGCAGGATTGTTATTCTTCAAAAGGCTTCTGGAATTTCTTTCAGATTTTCTGTAACACAATTAAGGTTTTTCAAAATGTACCCCTTGTATATCACACCTGTGATGGTGAAGCTTCCTTAACTGACTGTGACAGCCCTTAAGTGTACCACACAGCTGTTTTAGCACAAAAGACCTGTTATCTTCAAGTACACAATATAACCAGCTGAACATTGGTGCACAGATTTGTTGTGGAATACAGTAAAATGATAAAGTAGGTGTGGGTAATGATTTAGAAATATTGTGAGGAGTTGCAAAATCTTTTTATTAATAGCTCTTGTGGATCTGTTGCATAGAAAACTAACAACTTTTCACTATGGGCTTCTATCATACCAAACAGGAATGTTTATCTATTTGAGGCAAGTTTTGTTCATTCATTGCTTTAAATATTTATAGTCTTCCCTCCTGTGGTTCCTTCGAGATCAACTTTCAGTTTGAGAAAATCAAACTTGCAATATAGTCAAAACAGTCAAAATCTAAAAATAGTGTGAAATTGTCCTAATTAACATTTCACAATTTAAAAGGCAGGGTTTTTTTTAGCAAAAAATCTTTACAACATATTACTATGTCATCAAAGTAAGTTACAAGCAAGAGTACCACACAAAATGAGATGTTTGAATTTTTATCACCTACTATCCTCACCCTCTAAAAATCTGAAAGAGAACACCCAGCAGCGATTATTTTGGTGGTCAGGCAGATCTATTCAACTAAAGGGACACGTGTTTTGGCTGATGCGCCCTTAAGTACAGCAAAATATCTCAGTTTTTGAAAAGCACTTGAACCATGTATACATTGTGTGGGGTGGGAATATTTGGGCTCAGAGATGACAATCATTTGAGGTTTAAAGGATGGAATATGGTAGATGAAAACTGCATAGATCTGATCAAGAGTGTTGGACCCTTATCTGATGCCAAATCCAATTTAAATCAATCTAATTTGGAGACCCCATAACTTGACTTTTGTTCCCTCTTTGAAACTTCCTGACTTAGTACCTATAATTTGAAAACTATGTTTCATGATAAGAGCCTCAGTGGTGCAGTGATTAGAGTACAGTACTGCAGGCTACTTCTGCTGACAGCCGGCTGCCTGCAGTTTGGCAGATCGAATCTCACCAGGCTCATGGTTGACAACCTTCCATCCGAGGCAGGTAAAATGAGGACCCAGATTGTTGGGGGCAATATGCTGACTCTGTAAACTGCCTAGAGAGGGACGTAAAGCACTATAAAGCAGTATATAAGTCTAAGTGTTATTGCTATATAGGATGGCTCAGAAGTCTGGAAATTGGGGATTCAAAATGGCTAAATGGTTGGAGAAGGCTAACTCCTTCTAGGAATTGTCACCACTACTGGCAAGGACAGCGAGTTTAATTTCCCCATTCTATCTGGAGTCGATGCTTTAGTGGCTTTTCTTTAGGGAGTGTGGGCCAGGCTATGGTGTACTTGTTGAAATTGTGATAGAGCACTTTCTGGGAGGAATGTGATAACTGAATGAATTCAACCTGCCATAGTGATAAGCTGAGCTAACTATTACAGCATGATGTATGCCTGGTTTTTATTTATCTATCCAATAAATATGGCTGCCGTATCTCATTCTGGGCACTGTGGGCAGTGAACAAAATGAAAACAGAAATTCATCAAAAGCCAATAAAACCATCAAGGCTCAATAAAAACACAAAACCACCACAGGAGGGTTATTATACAGCAGTATCAGGAGCTCTCTCATGACAATTTATTTCACATACATGTGCACCAATGGGGAGAATGCTACCTGGGGAGTACTCTACCTACGTGAGATTAGAGGGATGTAAACCCACAGACAATCTTTCTCTGGGGAAAGCCCAAAAGCATCCTGCCTTTACAGCTAAACATTTCAATCTCTTCTTGGTATTTCTTATTGCTTAATTATTAATTATTGCTAATTAATTGATTGATATTGCAGTTTTGGTTGACATATTTTGAATGGGCTACCATGATAGTGTGACAAACATTTATTGCTGAATTCTGGTTTGAAATAATTGACTACTGTGTTTCTAAAACTGCCCAGAGTATATTTAGAATGTGATATGGGAGCTGAATTTGAAGCCTACTTGGCTATGAAGACATGTAATAAAACTTCATAAACCTGTAATTAACATGGGTTACACCATCTGGTTGTTTTGGAACAGGTTCTCCTTGGAGGGTTCTTCCATTAATCCGTAAGTTACTTGGTGTAAGAAATAGAAAATTCTTTCATATTTCACCTGACAGCTACACAATGGCAACATCAGCAAATAAAGGGTGAGTGGTCCTGAGGTAGAATTATAAAACAATAAAAATATATGTAAGGATACATAAGTAGGCTTGTGTATCCTTACTTTTATTCATACACTGCTTTTCAGCTAGTGAATGGTATGATAAATCTGTCAATGAAGCCAAGCACTTCTCTTTTCTGCAAATAAGAGCTTTTGACCTAAATTACATTGAGAGGGAAGGGAAAAAGCAGCAAAGCAAGAAGAGATTGGGATTTCTTTATTCAAGCATTTGGAAGTAAATTCAATAGCATTTTCTTCCCTGTAAATCTGCTTAGAATTCCAATTTTGCACATCAAGTCTTATAAATAAAATAACAAAAAACAAAATAATAGTTTTTACAATTCCATGCTGGCAGAAATAAACACAATATGCCATAGCTTGTGAGCCAGCTTAATATTTCAGAATAACATCTACTACACCCTGACATTTTGCATTTATACTCCTGGGTTGGTTGCAAGTCACATCACTTGTGCTGGGATGTATATTTAATATTTTGCCCTCCTCCTACAGATACAGTTGGTTGTGTCTGTTCTATTTTAGGTGAATTGGAGAGTCATAATATACACAGTATTTCAACCTTGGCTAACCCAGTACTTTCCATGTATCTTAGACTTGAGCTCCCACTGACTTTAATGGTATTACCGTACTTTCCTGTCAGGTAATTAGTGGATGTTGTAATCTAGTAATGACATTAAATTAGGGAAGACTGTATAACTGTAAGTAACTTGTCTCCCTACAACCTTCATACAGCACCTTGTGCTTCTATGTAGCAGCTGGAAATGTTGGGTTTCAGATCAAAAAGAGAACTAAACAATGAGCATTATACTGTAAAGGCAGCCATAATTCTGCGCTGATGTAATACCATAGTGTAGTGTAAGTTACTTATTAATCATTAGGAATACTCCGAGTTACTGCCAGTGTTATTTTTGGAGGAGTTACTCATAATTTTTTTTCCATCTATCTAAATCTGATTTATTTGCGTGAGTATGTACTGTAGCTCTATAGCTATTTGGCTTTGAAGAGAGAAAATGATTGTACACAATAGGTACAATACTGTCAACACTCCCTTAAATCAAATACTCTACTATCCTAAGGAGAGAGATATCAGCCAGACTAGCTCAGGAAAAAACCAGTTTCTTCCTAATTGTTGACAGTTGCTCGGTGAACATCCCTCTCACAATTGCATAACTCTATTGTGTCAAATTAATGATTTGTTCTTTTTTTGTCTGCAAATTTACTCTCACTGCAGTCAAGCAATAGCTAAATGTTCCAGAATAGGCAAATTAACATCCACAAGGTAAACAAGTTCAAATACAACTTCAAAATAAGCACATCTAACAGCTGTTGCCTGCCATGTTTCTCGGTTGACATTTTTCAACCTTGGATTAAGGATCAAGTGAAGGTAGCAGAACTCAGCTGATCCTGAAAAAACTTAACAAAAGTAGGCCTGTTTAGTACTCTATGTGAATGGGAAAACATCAGGAAAGTCCAGACTAGATAAGGAAGTTGAAAAACATTCCAGAGTAGTGACAAGACCATATTTGTATTGTTACCAAGAGAAGAATGAATGTTGTCTGTTGCATCATCACATGTTAAGCTTGGTTTGAGGGAGAAAAAGTACTAAGTTAGACAAGGTTGCTATACTGTATAACAGGAGTGTCAAACTCGTGTCATCATGATGGTGTCACATGCCATATCGGGACTTGTTTCCCCTTCGCTAAACTGGGGAGGGGGGCGTTTTAGCAGGTGACACATCCACCCCTTAGGCTGGTAGTTTGACACCCATGCTGTATATTATGACTCTAGGATTCACCCAAAATGGAAAGGAATGATCCAATCAGGCTATATCATGAAAAAAATGCATTTTTGTAAAGTTCAGGGAAAAAAAGATTTGATTCTGGCTTCTTTATTTGAAAACTCTATTATGAAAACTGCACCACTTTTTCTTAATTAGAGGTTTTATTGTTTTGCCTGAAGTCTACAATGAGATTTTTGGAGATCACCCTGCATGTGGACTTACAGTCATTTTTCTTGTGAGTCTGGGCTATAATTTTCAAGGAGTAAAGTTCTTCTATTTGTTCACTCAGGAATCCTAAAAAAGTTGGTTTTTTTGACTGGTTGATTGAGCAGATCAACAGTGGAAGATACAAGGATTTGTTGCACTGGACAGACGAGAACCACACAACCTTTCGTATCCGTTGGAAGCATCAGTCAAACAAGAATCTTGTGGCAGATGATTATGAGATTTTCAAGGTATGAACATGTTCTGCACAAATGATTATATGTATGTGTTTGCTCTGCCAAATGGTGAATTATCTTCTGCAACCATTGCCAGCTTCTAATATTTTAAATAGATCATGATGTAAGCCTTCACAGATTAGGTCTACTCATTGATGCTGAAAGAAGCTAACAGCAATTTTTCTGAAAACGTGAAGACTCCATTTTACTCAAATATCCCTAGTATGGGTAGCAACTCCTGGTTCCATTTACGTGACAGATTACAGTAGAACCTCTGGTCACGAATGGGAGCGTTCGTGATCAAATCGGGTGACGACCAAAGTTTTTACCTCTGGTCGCAAATGGGTGCTTGGGTGGTGACCAACCACAGCAATTTGCTCTTCCACAGCTATTTCCCCTTCCACACCGCACTTTTTTTACACGGATGTGTTTCCAGTGACAACCAAATCAGGTGACGACCGAATTCTCAGAACGTGTTACAGTTGTTACCTGAGGTTCTACTGTACTTTAAAAACTTCTAGGTGCATGTAGATAATGTTATGGATTCCAAAGGGTTTTTTGTGAGAAACCTGGCCTGGAAATTAAGGACAATTTCTATTGGAAGCCGGAATAAAAAGGGAGCTTTTTATTACTCAATCTTAAGATGTTATAGGGGATCCTAAAGTGACACTTCCATTGTAGGTTGCTCTTCCAAACTTTCCATTGTTGCTGTATAGTTCTTCCTTTTTATTTATGATAAAGGACAAAGGGTAGGACTAGTAATATGTGATAGTTTAATGAAAACCATCTCTGAGTAAAAAAGGTATTTTAATCTTTGTTCTCATTGTAGTATTCAGAAACTGCCCATAAGCAAACACCTGATATTTATAATGGATGGAGAGTTCTTATTGGCATCTGTGGAAACTTTTCTCCCATTCTGAGTAGTAGGTACCTCTGTCAGTGTATATGATTACTTTTATTTAAATAAAGTTTTATTAAGTTCTATTATAAAATACAATGCAAATAAAGATTAAAAAAGAGGATAAAAAAGAAGAGAAAAAAGATTCTGATTTCCATTTCTTTTCAACACAGTAAAATATTAATGCACTTAAGACCTCAACTTTTTACATTACTTATAATGATTACAAGCCAGTTCTATAACTACAGTTATTAAATTTTCAAAACAAATTCTAAATTTCAGTTTTTTTTCTATTTCAAACATAAAAACTAGAAGCAATAGCCCAATAAAAATAACCCAAATAAAATATCCTTGTTTAAAACAGTTTACATTACCAGATAACAGATAATCAGAGTTGGAAGGGACCTTATAGGTCATCTAGTCCAACCCTCTGCCCAAGCGGGAGACCCTACACCATTTCTGACAAATGGCAGTCCAATCTCTTCTTGAAAGTCTCAAGTGATCTAAACCAAATCCATTTCCCTGTTGTAAGAATTGATATATATTTCTGTTTACACTTATCTTTTTAAACTATAATCATCTGTATTAACAAAAATCATCATACACTTTCAAATTCTTTAAACGTAGAAGGAAAACTCTTATATTTATTTTAAAACTCTAAATGTTTCTTAAGAAAGTGTATATAACTAAAACAATTCTAATGTATCTTTTTAAACTTTTAAACTAGCAAAGGTAATAAGACTACTCTTCCCAAATGTGGCATTCTTCAGATGTTGTATACTTGCATTTTTTAGAACTTGCAGCTCTAACACATTAGAAAGAGCATAAAATTGGGAGCGGCTATACATGAAAAACTACACAATGAAATATCTCTAGTTGCCTGTTCAGTACACCTTTACCTTTTATCAAGTCTCATATTTGCTTTTTTATTAGATTCTGATTACCCTATTCCTAATTAATTGGATCAGGAATTGGACAAGGTGGGATCTGACCTTTTATTGAATGGAGAGGTATCTTTTGTGTTTACATTTCGATCTCGTTATTTTTTGTGTTTTCATATGAAAAGGCATGGGCTATGTATACCGAGAAATATAATGAAGATTTATCAACTCCTAGTAAATGTAAACTCAACTTCCGCTGTGCCATGAACAGTACAAAGAGATTTGAAAAACTCGTGTCAAATGAACCTGACTTTCGCATATACAAAATCATCCCCCTGAATCCAAAAACTGAATCACCAGCTAACCCCTCTTCTGGTACAAGTAAGAGTTCTTGTATTAAATTTTTTAGCTTAGAGATCGAGAGGGATGCAATTTCCTATGTAAGGGAAATAATGAGAAAAGTTAAAAGTCTGAAGTTTTGAAAGGATATCATTTAAAAACAAATGGTGTATATCCATAAAGGTAATCCTCGACTTATAACAGTAATTGAAGCCTACCCATTTCGACTGTAAGGAGGAAGTTAATTGAAACTCATTAAGTGAAAGATCCTGGTTCTCCCCAATGCCAGGTTAAACTATGTAAGGATTAATGCAGGGGTCCTTAAGTGTGCATGGGTGCCTCAGGGATGTTTGCTCACAGCCTCCCCCACACCCTGAGATAACCCCATGCCAGGGGTGGGATTCTACAGGTTTGCACCTATTCGCTAGAACCGGTTGTTAACATTCTAAGCAGTTTGGAGAACCGGTTTTTAGAAGAAATTACTGGCCTAATCCTGTAAGGAAGGCAGGAAGGAATCATTCTGGGGTTGCTTACAGAAACTGCCTCTCTGTTAACCCTTATTACATTCTTGGCAGGACTAGACTTCCTGTCTCTGGAACGTCTCTGGAGTTTTTTTCCCCTTCTTTGCTGGTACTTTGCTTGTGTGGAGTGACCATTCAAAGTTACAATGGCACTGAAAAAAGTGACTTATGACTGTTTTTCACAGTTACGACTGTTGCAGCATCCCCACAGTCATGAGAGGCCAGGCGAGGAGATGCGTGCCTCGATGTGAGTGATGTTGAGTTGGCCACACCTAGCCAGTCACATGACCACCAAGCCATGTCCACCAACTAAGCCACGCCAACAGAACCGGTTGTTAAAAAATTTGAATCCCACCCCTGCCCCATGCTCTGCTTCCTTTCCTTGGGATTCCCCCAGCCACCCCTCACAATCCTTCCCTCATCTTTCAGAAATCTGGAGAACTCAGTATTATGGGCCATTCTTACTGAGTTTAAATACTACTGAGTGAGGCTAACAATCAGCATATTGGCAAAGTAGTTCTGCTGATTTGAATCCAACTACAAGAGAGAAATCAGAATTGTACAACATGCTTCCTTGACAAAAAACAGTAACAAATTACCCAAACTGAATAAAAGTTGGAGATAGAAGCCCAATCCATTACTAGTACATAGACTGCCAGGGGGTATTACTCGTGATTCAGTATAGCTTATGCTGAACTAGCAAGCATTTGAATTTAATTCTTAACAAGTAAAATATAAAATTCTAAATATCTGAATAACAACAGTTTTGCTTTTGTTATCCGCTTTTTAAGGTAATGCGAGTGAAAATGAAGCTGAAGCATTGCATTTCAGTCCATACAGTGGAGAATGTCCAGCTCTGCACCAATCTACACAGCTACACCAGGTACAGATCTGTAGCATTTGCTGCAATAACTGGATTTGAAAAGGCAGAGGAGTCACTGAAAACACCAAGTTTTGGAATTGGTCAACATTGATAGTAAATTGTATGGGGGAAAAAAATCACTGAATGAATTCATAACAAGCTTTGTCTAAGTTGACAAAACTGAAAAGCATATGTATACAGAGATTATGTGGATCTTTACAGGACTGGAAAAACCCTTATCTCTAGAGAAACAGCATCTAGACCAGGAGTATTAAACTCGTGAAGTCACGTGACATATCGGAACCTTTTCCCCCTTCACTAAACCAGTGGGGGGTGGGGCCAGCACGTGACGTATCCAGCCCGTGGCCACGAGTCTGACACCCCTGATCTAGATCAAGGATTCCCAACCCCCAGGCCATGGACTACATTGGGCCACAGCATGCCAGAAACCGGGCCATGCCAACAAGCAAAGTCCCATCCACGGCATGTAGGCAGCATGCTAAACCCTGCCCCTTCTGATTCATGGAAAAGCCTCTCTCCATGGAATTGGTCCCTGGTGCCCAAAAGGTTGGGGGGGGGCTGATCTAGACAATCAGCTTATTTATAAATGAAGTATTTTGCATTTGCTGCAAATCTACTTCTGACTCAGAGGTTATTTTGTGAAACGTATTTAAAATGGAAAGCAACAAAAGAGGACAGGATACAGGTGAAATCTTGAAGTCATACCAGTTCCTGATCTATCTTTCTGTTGTAGATCTAGTATTTTTCAACAATCCACCATCTAAATTTTGACCCAGGCCAATTTTGCCTAACTTTTTAAGATCACTCAAAAGTTTATTTGAATGTGTGTTTGTCTGTTTTATCATATCTTATTTCAAGAGAAATAAAGCATGTGCAATTTCTTCTCCCAGAACCATTCAAAGCCTTGTGAAGTGCTCTTCCTTTGCCTTCTCTTGCTGCCATTGTTTGATAGCTTAAAATGTGAATGTCTGAAGAATTTTTTCTCCACCATAAAATAATAGCAAATTATATTAGTATCTTGTTATTGGACTTTACGTAACTGGCTAAATGTAAACATCCAAGTACCCTTTTAGGCATATGGGTTGGAAGCATCCTTGATTCTATGGTGTTTAGGAAACTTTTATCCAAGAATTTTCCAGTTGACTCCCATCTACTGGTGCTTAGACTATGATAATTTTCAGATGTGAAACTAAAAGTTATTCTTGTTTTAATCAAGTTTGTACTAAGAATATAGAACCTATGCTGCCCAGAAGCTTGATTTAAATGTTTTCCACTGCATTCTTTTCTATGGAAGATATACACTGCTCAAAAAAAATAAAGGGAACACAAAAATAAGACATCCTAGATCTGAATGAATGAAATATTCTTATTAAATACTTTGTTCATTACATAGTTGAATGTGCTGACAACAAAATCACACAAAAATTATCAATGGAAATCAAATTTAGCAACCCATGGAGGTCTGGATTTGGAGTTACACTCAAAATTGAAGTGGGAAAAAACACTACAGGCTGATCCAACTTTGATGTAATGTCCGTAAAACAAGTCAAAATGAGGCTCAGTAGGGTGTGTGGCCTCCACGTGCCTGTATGACCTCCCTACAATGCCTGGGCATGCTCCTGATGAGGTGGAGGATGGTCTCCTGAGGGATCTCCTCCCACACCTGGACTAAAGCATCCCCCAACTCCTGGACAGTCTGTGGTGCAACGTGGAGTTGGTGGATGGAGCGAGACATGATGTCCCAGATGTGCTCAATTGGATTCAGGTCTGGGGAACGGGCGGGCCAGTCCATAGCATCAATACCTTCATCTTTCAGGAACTGCTGACACACTCCAGCCACATGAGGTCTAGCATTGTCTTGTATTAGGAGGAACCCAGGGCCAACTGCACCAGCATATGGTCTCACAAGGGATCTGAGGATCTCAACTTGGTATCTAATGGCAGTCAGGCTACCTCTGGCGAGCACATGGAGGGCTGTGCGGCCCCCTAAATAAATGCCACCCCACACCATTACTGACCCACTGCCAAACCGGTCATGCTGGAGGATGTTGCAGGCAGCAGAACGTTCTCCACGGTGTCTCCAGATCCTGTCACGTCTGTCACATGTGCTCAGTGTGAACCTGCTTTCACCTCTGAAGAGCACATGGCACCAGTGGCGAATTTGCCAATCTTGGTGTTCTCTGGCAAATGCCAAACGTCCTGCACCGTGTTGGGCTGTAAGCACAACCCCCACCTGTGGACGTCGGGCCCTCATACCACCCTCATGGAGTCTGTTTCTGACCGTTTGAGCAGCCACATGCACATTTGTGGCCAGCTGGAGGTCATTTTGCAGGGCTCTGGCAGTGCTCCTCCTGTCCCTCCTTGCACAAAGGCGGAGGTAGCGGTCCTGATGCTGGGTTGTTGCCCTCCTACGGCCTCTTCCACGTCTCCTGATGTACTGGCCTGTCTCCTGGTGGCACCTCCATGCTCTGGACACTATGCTGACAGACACAGCAAACCTTCTTGCCACAGCTCGCATTGATGTGCCATCCTGGATGAGCTGCACTATCTGAGCCACTTGTGTGGGTTGTAGACTCCGTCTCATGCTACCACTAGAGTGAAAGCACCGCCAGCATTCAAAAGTGACCAAACCATCAGCCAGAAAGCATAGGAACTGAGAAGTGGTCTGTGGTCACCACCTGCAGAACCACTCCTTTATTGGGGATGTCTTGCTAACTGCCTATGCTTTCCACCTGTTGTTTATTCCATTTGCACAACAGCATGTGAAATTGATTGTCAATCAGTGTTGCTACCTAAGTGGACAGTTTGATTTCACAGAAGTGTGATTGACTTGGAGTTTCATTGTGTTGTTTTAAGTGTTCCCTTTATTTTTTTTTGAGCAGTGTATTATATTTTGGTACTAGAATGTGCTATTGAAGGTACATAATACAACCATTTTGTTGATTTGGGTGCTTACTAGATTATTTTAGTCTAGGTTGTCTGACTGATATTAATATTTTAAGCTGTTGTAATGTGCTGAGAGTGTGCTAGAATGGCTTCTAATCCATTTTAATTAATTAATTAATTTGGAGATGTTCACTGCCTAGGTAGAAAGAATGTCTAGAAACTCTTGGTAATCTAGAAGTTGCCTTATGCTAAGCCAATAATCCTTTGGATCAAATATTATTGACATGGACTGTCACCATCTGTGTAGTAATTTAGACTGGAATCTTTGAGCACCCTTCCTGGACATGATAAGGTTGAAATTTGAGACACTCTACATGCCAAGTGTACATTTACTATTGAGTTGTCATACCAAGATCTGTCATCTCAAATTCCTAACTGACTGAACATTTTCAAGGAGGGTCTAAACTGCTTTTGGTCTCCTTTTATTTGTTCATGGGAGAAAATACATACCCTGTTTCTCCAACAATACGGCCTCCCCCAATAGGAAGTCCCAGCATGTTTTATAGGCATGAAATGAAATTAAGCCCCTCCCCCCAAATTAAGGCCTATATTAAAACATGCAAAATGGGGGGAATGGTGGGGGGGCTTGCTGTTAGAAAGTACTTTTGTTGCACACCCGGATATGGTGCTGCCTGCGTTGACCCCGATACGAAGTGCCCCACCAACGCTGAGGTCAACATCCAAGCTGTCGCCACCCGCCTGCCCGAAGATGCAAGGGGGGGGAATTAAGTCACCCCCTAAAAGACAGCCTAGCCATTTTTTCGGGGCTCAAAAAAAAAAAAGACCTGGCCTTATTATATGAGAAACACGGATAGCCGTTTCCCGCCTAGTAAAAGTAAACAATCTGATTCATATAGATTTAAATGGGAGATGTGAACTACATACTTTTAAGTCTGTGGTTTTGACAGCAATGACTCTTGGGTCCTTCCTGCATAATATGCATGTAATTTGGAAGCCTGAGGTAGCATTTGTGCTGGTTTAAGTTGAGAGTGAATGGATTACTGAAAAACGTTCCAGTGTCATGGGGTAAGCTTTAAGTGTACTATCGAGAAAAGTTGATCAGCATATAATGAACATTTTCACATGGTATTTCTCAGCATTTGCAACAAAACGTTTCGTCTGCTTCACAGAAGGAAATTGATGCTGCTTTTCAAACTTTGACACTGGAGAATCGGATGCCAGGTAAAGTTGTGGGTGCTCATAAGAGTTGGCTGGGGTTAGAGGCTTGGGTTGTCTTACTAGGCTGGGATGAAACATGCTTGATAATGACAAGTATAAATGTGCCTATTTTCACTATAAGGCTCCAACTGGAACCACAGTTGCAGGCGGCTTTATGCCTGTGAAATGGCAAAACCATGTTCTGTTTTCTTAATTATTAAAACTTAGTCCCATTTTTTTTAAATTAGGAATTTGAGCTGCCAATTATGTCTAATAATGCCTATTGCTGCATGACTGAATTATTGGTGTGGAAATGAAAGGGGCGGCGGGGGGGACTTCTTAATTTGTAGTATACTTCTTAGGTTTAATAATCTATTGTCATACTGAACATTGTTTGGCCAAGAAGAGAACCTGATCAAGTGTACTTTATTGATAACTCCTGAAGAGGCTACATTGGGTCATTTGTTTAGCAAACGTTTTTGAGAAAGGGTATAGATGCAGCTGCAAAGTAATCTTGGACAGAGCAAATTTAGATAAAATCCCCCTTTTGGTCAGATTTCAGACTTGGGGTCCTGTGACTGAAACTGCACTGATCACTCTGGTGGATGATTTGTATTTGGACCTGGATGGCCCAAGTGCATCCCTCCTAGTCCTATTTAGTTTCTTAGAAGCACTCATTACCATGAATTATGGTGTTCTTTTGGGGCCCCTGTAATGTGTGGGGATTGAGGGCATTATTCTGCATCAGTGTTACTTCCTACCCGGTTTCAGGTTTGGTCAGCTGTAAGGGGGATGATCAATTGAGTTCCTAGATGCTTGTCCATGGGGTTCCATAGGGTTCATGTATCTTTTTATATATATATATTTATATTTATATATATATATATATGGATCTTT